CTATCTATCTATCTATCTATCTATCTATCTATCTATCTATCTATCTATCTATCTATATATATATATACATATATATATATATATATATAATAATAATAATAATAATAATAATAATATACCGTAAGCAATGCAAGTTTTATTCTTCAATTGAAAAGTTCATTAGTTCAATACATACACAGCACAGATTTATCTAAAAATTTAAAAAAAACGTCACGCTATTTCTCTTGTATATCCTTACACATTTTTTTCAAGAATTTTTTATTCTGTGAATAGTTTACGTCATAAAGAATTTTGTACATAAACTTTAAGAACATATCTTATTTTGAAGTTGAAACCGTTTATACGTCTAGGCCTATGAATTCAATAAGTGCACTCTCACGCTATATTTATAAATAGCCACAGACGAGCTTTCGTCACTACATTTTTGAAGCCTCTCAATGATAATAGACCTATATCTATTTCAGTAATGTTGGCACGTACTCATGTATCCGTTTACTAAGAATAAGATATTTACGTAAGGAAAAGAATTTTCTCTGTATTTTCCTTTTCCGCCTGATATTAATAGTAGTATTATACTATTGTATGTGATTGTATAATAGATGTACATAGACGTGATGCCTCGGCCTCCTAGGGCGTGGGCGTGACACGTATACTACCTACACGAACAATAGTTGAATTTTCGTCGACTTATTTTACCGGGAGCTTACCTAAAGATCTGCGTAATGCGACAGAATAGTCCTTACAAGAAGCGTGGGATAGCTACAAGTTTTAGTTACACACGGTTCTTAAGGGTACCATCGACTATACATATAAGTAACCCCTATTCTTTATTTACTGCCTTTTTAGAAGAGGCTTAACACTTTAACACCAAAACATGCGATTACGTAGTATGCCTATTATCATGGAGCACTGTGTTGTCTAGTCATCGTTGGCGGGACACTTCTATCGGTATAATTGCTTTCTGTCACTGTAAAGAGGGCAACACAATATGTACAGGTACACGCATATTTTGGCGGTACCTCACTCATCAATTCTTCATAGGCATATGACACCATGCCCCAAAACTTAACATATGATTTTTTTCCCCTTTAAAATAAACAAGGCGCGGCGTAAAATGATAATAAGCCGTGAGCCATGAGAAATTTCTACCATGGACCACCTATTAATTAGGTCCATGTTTCTACTGTCTGGTACCTAAATACTGTAGGTCGAAAAATACGAACAGAATCAAAGAACGTACTATGCAAAAGAGGCTAAACTAGTGAATGAAAATAAACTTTACCTCAAAAACTATATTTTTACACATGGTGTACCGAAAGTTTTATGATTTTGTATAATATAATAATAAAAACAATCATTTATATATCATAATGCTGCATTATGATAATTAATAATTTTGTCAAAAGCGTTCGACTGTTAACAGAGTACTGTACAGATTAAAGTTGCAACATCATGTATAGGGGGCGCTGTTTTAAAATTTATCACGATTTTATTAAAATGTGCATCGGCTTTTAATACAAATAGGGCCTACAGTATTACTTTATCAATAATAATGACATTAATATTATTACTATTATTCTGCTCTATATTGGTATTATATAATTATCATTGTACTCTCATTGCTATTATGTATTTAGTAATAATATCATCAAAATAATGATGATGATGATAATAATAATGATAAAATTAAATAACAACTGACTTATTTTATTACTTCCTATGCTTTAATGTAATAACTTTATATTTTTAGAATCTAGGTACCTGATATAATAAACTTCAATTTAAAAATCCCATCTTCAATTAAAATTTTTCGCTTTGCTAAAAGTGTGTTATAATTTTCACTACCAAAAAAAAAAAAAATTAAAAAAATTTTTTTTTATAAAGTATGATCTTCAACAATCTTATTCACCACAGCCACCAGAAAGTGTAGTTCCGGTTCTGGTTCTGGTTTGGTAAAGCCGACCTCCAAAGGACTCCAAAAGTGTAGGGAGTGCAACAGGATCAAGCGGAAATACCACGAAACTATAGTTTTGTACCGTAGAGGGCGGTAATAAAACATTTAAGATGTGTCAATATCATAGAGATAAGAAAATATTTATAATATCTCTATAACCAATATGATACTTGTATGTTTTTATAAGAAGTCAGGTATATAGTCAATTGGCGCATATGGGCCGAGGGTTAATAGTAGGCCTGTGAGGGTAAAAGAAGAATCTCCAACAGCAGGGGCCATGGGGCCGCCAAGCCACAAGTGGCGATTCAAGCTAGCTGCTAGGCTTCTTAAATCAACATCTTTTTTTTTCTTTTTAATTTGAAAAAAAGAAGTAAACTTTTGACACCTTTTAGCTTTAAACTCACTCATATAACATAGAATAAAAGAGCACTATATTCATAATACATAATTCAAAGTTCATGTTATATTGTTCGAATAAAAATTGAAACAACGAAAGATCATTCCCTGTACTATGTTGTCTACAGCACTTGACTTAAGTCATCAAAACATAACATATGGCCAAGCATATTCCATCTGGACGTCGAAAGGAACATGATGATAATGAACATGTATTTCAGGCCTATTTATTCATTTATTTTGGAAATATTAGATATTTCTAATAATATATTATATTAGGGTATAATAGATATTTAAAAATGCACCGGTACCCTCACTGTCATAGGCGAGTCAGTATCTAAAATATTATTGATAAAACTTGTGTTGCTGATTCCGAGAGGAAAGCCAAGAGTGTTGTTGATTCCAAAGAGGAAAGCCAAGAGTGTATTAATGGAAGTAATTAAAATAGGAAAAATCCCCCAAATTACTGCTCTAAAGTTGGACTGCGGGAGGCAGGGGCTAAACCACTTTGAACTAGAATTACGGCAAACAACCTCGAGTGTGTTTGCTTTTGGCACCCTTCTTCATTAAGATTGTAATTCCACTGTTTGCATGCAGGCCTACGGGAGAGAATTGATTTCTAGACGTTAACCAGCTTTAGGTTTGTCCAGTAGACAATCAAACAGGGATTGTTTAAGAGGATTTCGAAACCTATCAATAGTTAATTATAAGTATAGTCTTGATCATCAACTTAAACATCGTGTATATTTGAAAAGTCGTTAATGAATTTCTATTTGTCATCGCTGATCAATATGTTTCAATTTGATGCAATGATGACGTTGGTAATTTTATTGAGAAAGGGGGTGAGCTCTATTGATTAACTTTCTGTTTACAATATATATAAAGTTACTAAGATAAAAGTGTTGCGATAATGATCAATATTGTGGTAGACTCTATGTTCATCCTTTCCCAGTCACCAAGTTAATCAAATACAGAGACCTCTGGCAAAACACTAAAACACAATTTTATGAGTAATTCTATCATCCCATTCGACGTTCGAAATTTGTCTTCACTATCTGAGTTCAATCTTTTCTTTTTATTTCCCATTTTGAATAAATTCAATAACTGCTTTTTCCCAGTCTCTCACAGGCCGGCATTTATTTTTTGGGCCACTGTCTCGATTACAACTCCTGAGCACCCGGTCATCTGTGGCAGGGCAAATGTGTTTCCCGTTCCTTTGTTCGAGCCACCTAGGCAGAGGTCCGGGATTGCGCCAGGGTGGTGACCTCGAAGAGTATTTGCATCTTATTTTGCCTATCTTTCCCATCCATGTCTTGTCCGACACAAATAAATAATACATCATGATTAAATAAATAATTAAAATTAATTAATTTCACATTATAATGCGTAAAAATGGCTACATTCGGTAGGTGGAAAACGGCGCCGCAAGCACCCCTAGGGATGGATACGTGCGCCTAACAAAATGACATTATTATTTATTGTTTTTTATTATTATTATTATTATTATTATTATTATTATTATTATTATTATTATTATTATTATTATTATTATTATTATTATTATTATTATTATTATTATTATTATTATATTATTATTATTATTATTATTATTATTATTATTATTATTATTCCATTCTATACTGCCCAAGAAAATACATAATTTTCATTTTTTCCCAATTATATCGTTACTAGGCTTCAGTGACCAGGCTAATCAACTCATTTTAACTCCAAGTTTTGGTGGAAATAAAATCAAAGTTAGGTCAAAATAAATTGAGAATAAAGCTCGTAAAATAAGTACCGGTACAAGTTGATTGCATAAATAGGCCTAAAGTGAAAATAATTACGCCACGTCAAAATAAAGACGGCTTACACAAGTATAATCATCGAATTATAATATGCAAAATATTATAAAATAATACTTTCCTAAAATGAACCTAATTTACATGGAGTTGGTGGTATAGCGGAAGTGACTGTATAAATAATGTTGTTGGTCGAGGATTGTAATGTTTGCCATGAGATGAGTTCTGCAGAGAAACACCACGTTACACAAACCTGATAGGCAACAGGGAATGTACCGTTAACAATGAATAAAATGTAGTCGAAAAAATGTTACTTTTAATGCTTGAAGGGCAGGTCCATATTATTCCAAAACAAAAGTAGTTTGTTACGTAAAAGACGTTATTTTAAACGCCGTGGCTAGGGATAAAGGTAAAAAAGTGTGTTCATATACTGTATGTATAATATAGAAAGAAAACAGGAAACTGAGTACATTTTTAGAACAAAATTGTTTATTGTCATGAATATTTTGACCTGTTTTCTTTATTTATATAACAGTAGAAAACCAACTACTTTTTCAGGAAACGAATATTTCGCCTTGTCCTCAAAAGTTGGCTGAAAACAGATCAGATAATTACAATAAACAGTCGTCATTAAAGAAAGATTTGTGATTAAATAAGATATACAATAACTGAGACACAGGGATAGGGTATGTGGTGGGAACAAGTTAATTAATCTAAAGTGTGATAAACAATGGAATTGAAAGTAAAATTGTTCTCTGTATACAGTGACTACTCCACATTTACTTTTTGTATTAACATGTACCTTAAATTAATGTTACGAAGGATAAACTTTCTTTAATTCGTAATACTGTACATGTGTAATTTTTTACCTGGAAATTTGGAAATTAAAATTTATTATCATTATGACATTGTTTTGTTATCATTATTATTATTTTTTTTTTCATCTATTTTTTTTAATTATTCTTATTGATACTATTGCTTTTGATAATACTGTTTATTGTTCTTCTTATTTTTTATATATCATAATGTGCATTGTTAATTGTTGCCTGTACGTAATAATATTTCTGTATCGGGGGGGGGGGAAGGGGGCTATAGCTTAAGATAGTTGTGCATTGCACTGCTAACTTACTTAGCCTCCCCTAACTCATATCTCGGCGATGTTGTTTTCTACTTTGCTTATTGTAATTGTGTTTTTGTATGAGATGGAAATAAAGATTCTGAGCTTCTTCGTAAAAAGTAAGTAAATCACCAAATGGTACTGATAGTATAATATTGA